AGATTCTCGATTGGATTTCAATCAGGAGTGTTTCTGAGCCAGTCGATACAACTATGATTTGCTCACTGGTAAAGTTTACCATTGTTTTCGTGCAGCGTTGGAATTTACGCACGCTTTCTTGAAGTAAAGTCCATCGGAGACAATGGCCAAAAAACAATTGATCGACAGTCGAGAAAATAGTGCCTGGGTATGATGAAAATTTGATGCAATCACGGATGATGCAATATTTTTCAAGGTCAAAAAAAATTCATCATACACCCTGAAAATAGATTCCTATTGCTGCATTCCATTGCAAATTATCTAATCTGAGGAAAACATAGAAATCGATTACACCCTGTCATTTCAGTTGGTCTAAAATTAACCATATGATTAAAGAAAGGAAACTAAAGCGGTTGTTTTAATTCATTTTCCCAAGTGTGTATATTTAGTTGAAGGCATTAAAATATGTCTAAAATATTTAGATTTCGGTATTAAATAACCCATGGATGTTGATATGGCGCTAAACAAAATCAATCAAACTCCTCTTCTTCTTGAGGAAGTAACACCTTTTACAGTCCCAAATATGGACATATAGGGAATTCCAAAACAAAAACAAAGCACTATGAAAGTGTAAAAACACATTTATATTTTGAAAATACCAGCAATACGTATTTATATAAAAATACCAAAAATGCATATTTATATAAAAGATATAAACAATGCATATTTAAATAAAAAATACCAAAAAACATATTTATATAAAAATTAACAGGAATACATTTTATAGCAAAATGACTAACACTATATTTTATCTGCATTTGAAAGCAAACGTTTGCGATCAAAATATATTTAGTTGAAGCCATAAAAATACTATTTTAAAATATTTAGATTTCGGCATAGATGTTGGTATATCGTTAATCAAAATAAACTGATCAATAACTTCTTCTTCTTGTTCTTGTTTTTCTTTTTCTTCGGGTGACAGCATGTGTTAAGGTCCCAGCTATGAGAAATAGTGAACAAGCAAACAAAAACGAAAGGCTATGAAAGTGTAAGAATACATATTTATATGAAAAACACCAACACTACATTATGTAGCAAACGACCAACAATACATTTTATCTGTAGCTCAGTGAATACAATTGCTTTCAAAGCATATTTAGTTGAAACAACAAGGCTGTATTCAAATCATTTAGATTTCGACAATATATGACCCATAGAGATGTCGAAATACCGCGAAACAAAAATGTCTCCTTCTTCTTGGTGTTACGCTTTGAAACACCGGTTCCTGTACGAACAACGAAGTTAAGGAACGTTGAGCTTTGTTACTGCCTAGATGGGTAACAGCTCAGAAAAATCAGGTGCTGTAATCTGGGATGTGCGGGTGGTGTAATGGATAACGGGTCGGAATTGTTAACTGGAGAGACGAGTTCCAATTCCCGTTGTGTTCGTTATAGTCACTTACGCGCGAATACTCTTGGGAAATGTACGAATCCACTTATTCCCCCCACCTATGGGTTAATTAGTAAGACTCGTATTACTAGATCATTATTATCTCCAAAATAAAATTCTTAAAATCTAAAAATTTTCTGGTTTTGAATAACCTGCTAACGCTTGATAAGCCGTAGAAAACCAATCAATCTTCATTTTGTTTTTCTTCAATGTGGTCTGTACCTTCAGGACTTGAACTTTCAACTTCCTATCCTTTGTAGCTCTAAGCAATCTTTTTTTTTTTAAATTTATTATCGCCACGATCTTTTTTGCGCTATCTACAAAACAAGTTTGCTTGGTTACTGTTGTGGGGCTCTCCCCTTTTTACATAAGATGGACTCGTCCAAAGAATACTTATACTGACAGAGAGAATACCTGCTGTTGAGATACGTCGTGATACAGTCCCGACGTCGAACTCTCTGCTTTGGCAGCGAGTAACCCGGACGAAGGTTTGCCGAAGGGCAAAGTTTCGTCCGGGGAGGTAGACAGGCGCTGAACCCGTCTAGGCGGGTTCAAAGGGTATATTTTTGTCCGAATTAACGGGATCGGAGTAACCCAATTTAAACTCGGCCTTGTGCCACATATATTCCACGCGGGTGGGATATTAAATACCGAGCTACGCCGAGATACAGTCTCGATGTCTACCGAAATCTCTGCGGACAAAGCTTTGCCAAAGGGCAAGGTTTCGTCCGGGGAGGTAGACAGGCCCTGAACTCGTCTAAGCGGGTTCAAAAGGTATTTCTTTTCTTAATAATTGGTTTAGGTTTTGAAAGTCATCTTTCGCTATTCCAATGGGTCTTCGGATTTCGGTGTCATGATTTCCTATTATTAGTAGCTCCAAGTAATATTTGTTCTCCTTCTGTACTCCACCTGCGCAAGATTGTCAATTATTTTTACCTCTTCGCTCATTTCTTGTCGATGAGTGTTACTTTTCCCAGCCCAGCTTTCCTCTTTATGTTTACGAGAAATGTCAAATGTCTCTTCTTGATTACAAATTCCAGTCGACTGTTTGTTGCCATTTTGTTGCCATTTTGTTGCGATTTTCCTTAAAACAACATTAGTGTTCATGCTCGATCCATGTTATTTTCATTCATTGTAATATATATATATATATATATATATATATATATATATATATATATATATATTCGGTCTCATGTTTACCAATTATTTGTACCTCCAAATAATATTTGTCCTCGTTCTGTCATCTATTTGCCCAAGCTCACTACTTCGTTTCCTCTCCCTTTCTCCTCCTTTTTTATTCTAAGTACAAGTTGCCTTTTGGTTTCCATTTTCCTTAACTGTTTCTTGTTTGCTCATATGCCCTTTCCATGATGTTCTCAACATCATTCTGTAGAACCACATTTCTGTTAACTTATTTATGCGTAAAATCATCACTTCTCCAAGAGATTTTCCAAGCGTAGCTAAGATGTGGCACAACATATGGGGCGCGTCTGAGTATCGAACTCACTGCTTAGTCGTAATCAAGTGAGACGAGTTTGTTAACCATTACACCCCGTAGAAATGTCTCCTCAGAGCTATGATTTATATACAAGGATAGACTGAACTTCGGTAGTAACCAGCCTCAAATTTGGAAAATTTTGAATTCCAAATCGTGATGAAGGCAACTGACAATAAATCCATTATCATTGACAAAGAGGCATGGTATTTCACGGATAAAAAGCAAAGGAAGCTGTGGGGAGCCATGATCCAAGCTAAGTTTGTAGCGATGCAGCATAATAAAAAAAAAAAAACACGTGTTGCCTGAAATAGATCGGTAATATAGTAATAACCTTGGGTCTCTTTCAAGACAAAGATATGAAATTCAGTTTTTCATTATAAAAGCGCTATAAAATTAAGGGATAAAAGTGAAGAAAAATCTGTCTATCTATCTATCTATGTATCTATCTATGTATGTATGTATCTATCTATCTATCTATCTATCTATCTATCTATCTATATATATATATATATATATATATATATATATATATATATATCAGAATGGGTAAAAATATACTTAGGTATACGAGCGAGCGATCTTATACAAAAACATAAATAATCTTTCGTGTAAGAAACAACTGTGTTCAACTTACAGTAACAGAGCGATATATATATATATATATATATATATATATATATATATATATATATATATATATATATATATATATATATATATATATATATATATATATATATATATATATATATATTATATATATATATATATTCATATATATATATATATATATATATATATATATATCATCCACAGACAGACTGTTTCGCAGTATCACAGCTTATCAGTGTGACTAGACGTTCAGTTACGATTGAAACCCGGCTGAATTGGCGCCAGTCAGAGATTTTACCTTTAACCAGCTTTTGCACGGTAGGGATGAAGGTGAATTTAAGCGTATTTATTTTTAGAGAAACACACAATGGCTGGGAGAACTCGATTCGCTTTACCAAAGAGTCTTGCATTATTAGCATTGTTTACAAACTCACACTTCCTCCCCAGAGAACTGAACCGAATAATTAAATTTTTCAGGAGCACACACACACACACACACACACACACACACACACACACACACACACACACACACACACACACACATACACATATATATATATATATTAATAGAAATTGGAATAATCAGGATATTTTAAATTTTGCCCGCCACATGTCGCCGCCGGTGGAGACATTAGAAAGTCAATTCTTTGCATCAAGGCGCACATTACATAAGCATCCCTACAAAGACATGTTGAAGTTTTGCAGTATAACCTGCTGGAGGGAATGTGATGATGTGAAAAAAATGAAGTCTGACAGCCATGATTGAGAGGGGTCCGCTGCCATTGGCCTTCAAGACTTTTGCATTGCAATCATCGCCGCAAAGATAGAAATCAATAAGTAACGAAAAAAAACCATGAGTTACAGCAGAAAACAAAAGAGAGCTTGAAAAGCAATCGATTTGAAGACGAATTGTTGAGTGTGATATCATTTATTTTTTTCTTCATAGGGCTTTTAAATGAAGGAAATGGTAGACGAATTGTAATAAACAAGGAAAAAAATCATGTCGTAAAATTTTGCAGAGAATGGGAAAAGAAAGAGAAGCGAAAGAATTTGGAGAAAATGATAAAAATAAAAAAAAATTGTTTTTTTTCTAACCAACAGAAAGCGGACATGTAAATAAATGAAAGAAGTGAATGAAAATGTCGTATAATACGAATGGGAGAGATAGATGATAAACGAAATATATAATTGCAAATAAGCAGAAAGACAAAGCCGCTATATATATATATATATATATATATATATATATATATATATATATTCTTTGTATAAGAAAAAGTTAAATGGTGTGTATAGAAATAATATAAATCAAAGAAGGACGTAACAATCTGAGAAAGAAACAAAGAATACGGGAAAATAGGAATGAATAAAGAAATAAAGAAAAGGAAAAAGAAAAAAAGGAGGTAAAGCAAACGATGACAATTCAAGTAAATAGGCAATCTAAAATGAAAAGGATTCAAGAATACAGAAAGAAAGAAAGAAAGAAAGAAAGAAAGAAGGAAAGAATGAAACACAAAGAAAACGAATAAAATATTTTTAAAAACAAGCAAGAAAGATAAAAAAACAAATTCAGTTGACACGAATGACTGAAATAATCCGAGAAAATAATAAGAAAAAAAACAAGATGAGCGAAAGAGAGAGAGAGAGAGAGAGAGAGAGAGAGAGAGAAAGAAAAGAAAGAAAGAAAGAAAGAAAGAAAGAAAGAAAGAAAGAAAGAAAGAAAATACAAAGTGACAGAGAGAGGGAGAAAAGTAGAAAGAAAAGGATACAATAAGATATAAAAAATTAAATAAAAGAAGGAAAAGATATAAAACGGAGAACATATAAAGAAAAAAAAGAAAGAATTAACGAAAGCAAAGGAATGAGAGTATCTGTGAAAATATGCAGAAAGACCGAAAGAAAAGAAGAGGAAGAAATAAAAAGAAAGAAGATAAAAAAGAAAAGGATTCAAGACAATATCAAGAAAGAAAAGAAAGTCATCAAAATAAAGATGTTGAAGAAAATTGCAAAATATGTGATAGAAAGAAAAAGAAGAAATGCAAATATAGAAAGAATGAAAGAAAAAGAAAGTAATTATATGGAAATAAATTAAGGGAAGAACAAATGCCTCAAAAAAAATAGAATGAATCAACGAAAGAAAGAAAGAAAAAAAAAAAGAAAAAAAGAAAGAAAGATAGCAAATAAATAAACAAAGAAAAAGAAAGTAAAAAAGAAAAATAATGAATAAAAGAAAGAAAAAGAAAGAAAGAAAAGAAAAGAAAAAGAAAAAGAAAGTAAGAAAGAAAGAAGAAAAAGAAAGAAATGAAGGAAAAAATAAGAAAGAAAGAAGAAAGAAAGAAAATAAGAAAGAAAGTAAGAAGAAAAAAAGAACAAAAGGAAAAATACAAAAAAATAAGAAGTAACGAATTAAAATGCATCCAAAGAATATGTATCGAAAAATGAAAGACAACGAGAAATAAGATTTAAGGAAACATAAAAGAAAGAAAAGTAGGAGAAAGAGGACACTATTTAAAAACAAACAAATAAAACCAATCCCATATAAAGTCCGAAGTGAAAGAACGAAAAAAAAAAAGAATCAATTCAAATTAAGCCAGGAAACACACAGAAATAAAAAAGGAAAAATAAGGAATAGAAGAACAAAATGTAATTAATACAAAGAAGGAACGTGAGAAAGAGAATGGAAGAATGAAATTAAAAGAAAAAAAAAGGATTAAGAAAGAAAAAAAAACGGTCTGAATGAAAATAAAAAAGAAAAAGACTGATGCAAAATAGAGAAATAAATAAATAAGTTAAAGGTCCAATCAAAAAATAAAGAAATCGTATAAAAGAATAAAGAAAACGAAAAGCAAAATAGAAAGAACGAAAGAATTAAATGAAAACATAAAAATAGAAAACAATATTCAAGCGTAGAAGCTTCTTGAAATCCGCTGCGAGACGTGTTTCTTTTGAAATATAGTTGAGTTTTTAAAAAAACTCAATGCTTGAAAGAAAGATGGCGATTTTCTAAGCGTAACTTAGATATAGCATAAGAAAGTATGTAGTAACTAGTGAGTAACGAACTCGCTACTCAGCCGTAATTATCGAACGAGACAAGCTCGTTAACCATTACACCACGTCAAATTGCCATGCATAAAAAGAATGATGAATGTTATAGAACATCAAAATTCACATTCACTCATAGTAATTAACAAATGTTTGACGCCATTTAGCTGTAAAAACGTTATTTTCATTTTTACGTGCATTACCTTGTATCATATAAGCTTACATAATGCTATAGGTTTTTGTTGTTGCATCAGTCGTTATTCACATCTATGGTCAAAACATTTTTGTCATCGCCAAATTTAGTAGCCATTGTGATAGTATTTGCGTAGTGAATATGATTTCGAGTATAGGCAAAAGCTGTCATTTTCACCGACATGAAAGACTTAAATTGAGGTTCTACGCGATGAAGGCCGTTCTGAAGTCGGAATTAGGGTAAACTTAGGTTATATCAAAACAGCTGTGCCCGCAGTTATTGTAAACTTCCAAATTTCAGGACTTTTACCGGAAAAGGGAGAAGATGACATGCATAGAAATCCAAAAAGCAATTTCAAGAAGATACCTGCTCCTCTCTTTCAAAATTGTGCAAATGTCAGTTCTATGAATTTCTTGTCTTCTCAGATGTGGGTTTGGTCTGGAATCATTTAAACCACAGCTCACTGCAGCTATGAAATGAAAGCGTCTGGGATTTGCTAAGCAAAATGAACAGCTGAAAACTAGAGCAAAATTATGTTTCAAGATCAATCTACATTGCAACAGTAAGTAAGGTTGATTTTGGAAACGTGGTATTGCACTGAATTCGAAGTTTGACATGATAAATAATGAAACACAATACTTTTTTTCCAAAATCCTTATCGTTTTTTTTAGGAAACAAGTTTAAAGATTAAGTTTAGGTTCAAAATATTAGCGATAGAATTTCATTCGGGTGATAAGTTAAAGCCTTATCACACAGTCTTATAAGATTGATAGTTTTTTGAAGGTTTACAAACTGTATGTGGACAAGATGATTGGCACAATCACATTATCACTAAATCGTTGTATCCATCAAATAAAATCTACATTTGTTTCAAATGGGAATTATACAAAACAATTATGTAATATGAAATACAGTGCAGTAGTTTTAGTGAGATTTTCAATAAACAATGCAAAGTTAAAACATATTGTCTTATTATTTCACCCCAGTTGTATTATGGTGTAATATACAATTTTATCTATTTTTATTTTTATTAATTATGATCAATCAAATGATCTAATAATTTTTATTTATTGAGAAGACTTCTTTGGTATCTTTTTATGATTTTCATATCCAGGTTTTACTGTAGTAAAACAATTGAATATTTTGCCTATGGTGATTTACAATTAAAATTCTGGTTTTGATATATTTTCAATGTAATAAAAAAGACATGAAGTTTATTTGGATTTACTCTTGTAATAGTAAACTTTTGAAATCATTTTGTAAGAAAATCTGGGGTAAATTAATTATTTCTCTACATTTTTTCAGATGAGATTTAAAACTTAATGCTCATAAATTAGAATAAGTTATCAATCTGATCTTTGGTCTTACAACTTATTTCATCAAACCACAGCTTTCACCCTGAGTGCAAATTCCTAAATAAAATAAAAAATCATTGTCTAAATAGAGAACAATTGAACTTTATTTCTTGCTTCAAGAATAATGTATATGGAACTATTAAAACAGAAACTAGAACTCCATTTGCACATTGAGACGTGCACAATGAGTGTACTCCATTCGGTCAAACGTCGTACAGAATTTTTGAACAAGATCTACGTGAAAACAGTGGACAGTCCGGGGAACACGTCCGATTTGAAAACAATTGAAAACTTATGGGGTCAAAATGTGCAGAATAAAAACTATCTTCATGTACCGAAGAGAGCATGTCATAAAAAGTTCTGAACAAAAAAAATCTTTAGCTGACTGCTGTAACAAGATTCTCACCCTGTCTCGCTTCATCCAAGCAGTAATTAAAATCAATGAAGGACACACAAAATACCGACTGCTGGACTCTTTGACTTGAAACGAATAGACAACGTTGCCAGGTGGAAATGTGTGATTAACCTTTGTGTCATTCGCCCATAAATTGCGTGTTACTGTGTTGCTTTTTAAATTTAAGATAGCAAAATTATGATGTGGAATCAAACTTTTGATATGACTGTAAAATAAAAATAAAACATTATATTTTTTTAATGGATTTCACCCCATGCAGGACAGTAAAGCCACTAAGTCACTCGAGATACCAGGTGTGGAAGAATTAGAAACAGAAACATTCGTAATGAGAAGGAAGAAAAAGAGTAATCAGAAAGACAAAAGGTAGAGGTCGATATTGCTTCTAAATTTTTGAAAATTAAAATTGACTAGAAAGCATGAAGGGAGTTCCACAAGCAAGAAGTGCGTGAAAAAACTGCAAGCATAGAACGGTTACATCTACCCATCTCAACTTAAAATGATGAGATATTGAGTCAGTCTAGTAATACACTTAAATTCAAAAAGGCTGAAGCCCATAGCTATGTGTTCCTCCGAACAATTACCATGAAAGTATTTATATACAGTGTAACCCGGATATAAGAGACCCGGATATAAGAGAAACCCGGATATAAGAGAGATTTTCTCTGGTCCCAAATTAGAGCCTGTGTTAATGTATATAAAATAGACCAAACCCAGATATAAGAGAAACCCGGATATAAGAGACTTCTTCTCCGGTCCCGACAACTCTCTTATATCCGGGTTACACTGTAAAAGACACAGAGATCAGATCTCGATCTATATAAATCTCAGTGTGTTTGTGTGTGTGTGTGTGTGTGTGTGGTTTTGCGTCTATGTGTGCGTGTGTGTGTATGTGTATGCACTGTTGTGCGTGCGTGTACTTGTGAGGGTGGGTAACGATTATATTTATTTATTTAGTTAGTCATTCATACTGATTGTCTTTGCTTCATCATTCTTTCTTATTCATTCATTAGGTAGTTGGCCTTACACGAACAGCTTTCAGGCCTGAGTTTCAATGCTTGATTATTTGCGAAATATCATTTCCTCCCTCTGTTCCTCGTCAGCTCTTCCTTGATTCGAAGTTTCCCAACATTGTCAGATTGTGTAGCTTTTTCTTTTCCTCCCCAAGTTTATCTTTCTCGGCGTCTCTTTGACATTCATCTTTTATTCAAGTTTACTTAATTACCTTTTATTTGTTTTTTAATGCATCCATTGTTTTTCTCTTTTTTTTTTTGTTTCCATAAATCTTCTTCTTCTTCTTCTCCTTCCCTCCTCCTCCTCCTCCTTCACTTAGTTAACTGATTTTATCGCTTTTCGCTTTCTCTTCTATTGCTTCTCGCATCAATTGTTAAATTATACATTTCTATTTCTTTGCACGTACAGCAGTCTATTTGTTCTCTCTCTCTTCCTCTCTTTCTTTCTTTCTGTCTTTCTTTTACCGCTACTTCTTTCTTTCTTTCTTTCTTTCTTTCTTTCTTTCTTTTACCGCGACTTCTTTCTTTCTTTCTTTCTTTCTTTTTTCTTTCTTTCTTTCTTTCTTTCTTTCTTTCTTTCTTTCTTTCTTTTACCGCGACTTCTTTCTTTCTTTCTTTTACAGCTACTTCTTTCTTTCTTTCTTTCTTTTTTTTTCTTTCTTTCTTTCTTTCTTTCTTTCTTTCTTTCTTTCTTTCTTTCTTTCTTTTACCGCGACTTCTTTCTTTCTTTCATTTACAGCTACTTCTTTCTTTCTTTCTTTCTTTCTTTCTTTCTTTCTTTCTTTTACCGCGACTTCTTTCTTTCTTTCTTTTACAGCTACTTCTTTCTTTCTTTCTTTCTTTCTTTCTTTCTTTCTTTCTTTCTTTCTTTTTTTTTTACCCCTACTTTTTCTTTCTTTCTTTCTTTCTTTTACCCCTACTTCTTTCTTTCTTTCTTTCTTTCTTTCTTTCTTCACAGTCATCAGATCAGTACCTTCTTTTTATGTTCGTCCAGCGATTCCCTTCAGATTGTCATTCTTCACATCATTCGTGTATTTGTCTTACTTTTGTTACTCCCCCTTCAAAATGTTTCTGGCTTTCATTTTTCTTTCTCTTTCCCTCACTCTTTATATCTACCTCTCTCTCTCTCTCTCTCTCTCTCTCTCTCTCTCTCTCTCAATAAACCCTGGCCTTTCTTTCTTTCTTTCCGTTTCTCCATTTTTATTTGCCATCATTTACTGTTTATTCCTACATTTTGACGTTAGTTTTAATTCATGTTTCCTGGTTGTCTTTTCTTTCCTGCTTTCTTTTTCTATGCCCGCTTTTGTTTTTTTTATAGCTTCAGCATGTTATAATCTTTCTTTCTCCGTTCGTTCGTCCGTTCCTTCCTTCCTTCCATCTTTCTTCTTTTCTTTCCTTCTCCCCACCCTTCTTTTTATTTTAATCTTTGTTTACAAATTATTTTGTTTCGTATAATTACTTGTTCTACATACGTTTTTTATTCATTAGGTTCCCTTCTTGTGAACTTTCAGCGTTTTTTTTTTGTTCGGCTTTTTTAATTGCCCTTTCACCTTAGCTTTCCTTAAGAACATGGAATTAACATTCAATTAAATCCAGAATCTTTTTTTCTTTGATTACGATGACAAATCCGTCACTTTTCCAGTGATTGTAAGGTGGTTGATTATTTTTCTCTCAATTTGTCTACACGTTTGGACTCCTGTGAGTTTTCTCCTTTCACTTCCTGATTTTATTTATTCTATTTGGAGGAGATTCATTGAAATCTTTAACCTCAAGAATATTATTCATTCTGGCAGACATTGATCGAAAGGGAAACACAAAACCTTACGCACCTTTGTATATGGGAGGCAGTGGGGACAAGAAATATAGAAAGGATTCAAAGAAAGAAGAAGAAGAAGAACCTGTTGCAAATTAATAGAGAGGACCGCATCAAGAGAGAACATGGAAAAAGAAAGAAAGAAAAAAGAATGATTGAAAGAAAGACTGAATGAAAGAAAGAAAAGAAAAGGAAAGATATAATGGAATCGGTTAACAGAATAAAAATTAAAATATATAAAGTATATAGGAAATAAGGTTAATGAACGAGTGTAAATGGCGGAATAAAAAGGTTTATCACGTACGACACATAACTGAATGGCTTCAAATTATTTTAGACATATTCTTTTAGTCATAGTTTAAAAGGACACTTTATTTTTCGATATATCTAAGCTATAATTGTAAAAAATAATTTGAGAGGAAGAAATAATTTGAGTAGGAAGAAATTTTAAATGAATAATTCATATATAAAGGGAAAAAAAGGACACTTGGATGTGTAATGATTAGTAAGCCGGTCTCGCTACATAAATTACGACTGAAAAATGACTTCGATCCTTAATGAATGTACCAGACATTAAGCCTTGTGCCACATGTAAGCTACGCGTAGAATATCATCCTATATAAACAAATATAAAGAAAGAAATACCTAAAACGGAGAAATAACGTGTTAACAAAAAAGATGAGGGAGAAATTTGGAATTAAGGTGATATAGATTCACAGACACCTATTTCTTCCGGCCTAATATAAAGCCAGTCGGAAAAATGAATCAACATGGTGTCCAAAAAATGATCATGACATGTGTCACGGAGACGTCAAAATCTGGAAAATGTAACACAAAAATCCAAAGACGAAGAAAGTAAAAAGAAAGAGGCGTTTCTTCTAAATAAATTACTCCAAAATAGAAACATTTCGTTAGAAACCAAGAAATGAATGTTGAAATGTTATGTAATATATCATCAAATAAATGGCAGTAGATGCAAGAACATTTTCTCCTTATTACATAACACGTATGATTGTAGGGTCAGTGAAAGTGTCTCGTTTGTCACCATAAAATCTCCCGCTCTGTTACATCTCAATTTTCATAAGGTATTATTCATAATGAATAAATATATAATTATAACATAATTATGTACAATAATGGATCACATACAATATAGGCGAACAATTCAACTGAAAAAATTGAAAATAAATACAATCTATTTAAATCCACTTAGAGGCTTGACATAAAAGCTCATTCCATCTTAAATAAATGAACAAAGTTTTGCGGCAATTTTGAACGTCAACTTGAATTTTTTCTTGTTGAAAAGCTGAATAATTTTAAGATATGCAACATTATGGATACAAAATAGAGAATTTGTATATAGAGTTTGTTCGAGACTTTTCATGAGCAAAACAAATACCCGGATTTGGATGAAAAAAAAAAAGAACCCCGAGTGACGTCAAAATCCGCGAAATTTTTTTCATCCTTTAATAGTCAGTTGTATTGAGTTTAATTGCAATGTATATAAATCTAATTAGAAAAAAGCAAATGGTGATAATATAGCAAAGATCCGAAAGCATTTGCTGGAACCCCCAATTAGGCCTGGCACATCCCCAAGGTAGTACAAGGCGGTCATGTATGTTTGCAAAAATAATAAACAACAAAATCTATATTCCCGATAAATTCCGATCAGGGCTTAAAATGTTTTCAACATATTTCAACGTAATTATCTCTATGTCAAATTATTGTTTTACAATTATAGCTTAGATATATCGAAAAATAGTGTTCTTTTAAACTATCACTAAAATAATTTGAAGCCATTCAGTTATGTGTCATACGTGATAAAAGCTTTAGCGTGCTTTCGATACATGACTGACCAGGCAGATTTTTCCCAAGGGTGTTAGCATGTAAGTGAATGTAATATATTCGACTGAAATTCGAACTCGGCTCTCGGATTCCCCAATCCGAGCCACTATCTATTACTCCTTATACCGTGCCTCCTTTAAGCCATTAATGAAGTCAAATCTAAAAAATACGTTGGCATTCAGAGATTAAAGATAGATACCATGAATTAATAACAGATTTGTTAAAGCTTTAATTAATATCCCTTTTTTTGATTAACCTGTAATTAATACCTTTTATTTTCAATAATTAATACCGGATTTTACGGATGTCTTTAGCGGGTTAAGCCGTGTGTAGCATTAAATCATTTGAGCAACATACCGAGTGTAACAGCAAAATTGTTCATCTTTTAGATCAAGATTTGAACTGTTGCATCTTAGAAATGATTAAAATGATCTTACTGGAATTCTCCGAGGTTTTTATAAGACTGTTGTTCTCTACTTTGAGCAAAAGGAATGTATAATTACTCTCCAAGCTTAAAAGAAGAATCGTGATGAAATCGAACATAAACGAAAATGACATGTTTTTCATTAATTAATCATCGCTAAGGATCAGAAGCTCATGATAGATTGAAATAAAGTTCAAATACATATATATTATTCCAGGTTAATTTTCCAACAAGTTTTTTTTTTAACAAGTTCTCTTTCGAGCTGAATAACTCAAAAAGTTTTTCAGTCATTAAAACGACAAATGGTGAGAGTTAATTTTTTTATCTGAAAACCTGAAAAAAAGAAACCCAATTAGTTTAGTAGGTTTTTAGATAATGAACATTTTATACGATGGACAATAGTGCTGTTACACGAGTTGGATAATTTTGCTGTTACACCTGGTAATGTAGATGAAATTACGCTTAAAGCATCAGTTCTCGTTTAATTACAGATGTTAAGCAATGTCGACCCTATGCAGTACGTACACGAGGGACCACATAGGAAGCTTCAACATAACAAGCACCTTATTACCTTGTTTACATAGTAAATTGAATTTAACTGAAAACAATAATTCCTGTTTAATTATCGAAGTTAAGCATCAGTATCTTTTTTTTAAGCATATCACCCCAAGTAAGGTGAGAATGCCACTAGCACGCAAGTGGGTACAGAGAGTGTAAGTGGGGTTAAAGAGGGTTGTTTGAGGAAAGGACAGAGAAGAACAGGGGTCAGTATCAAAGCATCAGAAGATGTCGATTAACATTATATTTGCATATTTGCCGATTATAACTATCAGGGCAGCAAGTAGGAGAAAGGGTCCCCATCTCTGTCCCATAATGATTGTTCCATTTACGTAGAAATTTCATAGACTAAATGGAACAATAATTATGGGACAGGGGTAGAATAATATAGAAGTATGACTACTTTAATAATCAGAGTTATCTGAATGAGGAGAGGGAACTTTTTTTAAGCATATCACCCCAAGAAAGGCGTGGGTGCCAGTAGCATGCAAGGGACTACAGAAAGTGAGAGTAAGAGTAAAGAGGGTCGTTTGAGGAATTGATATAGAGAAAGATGGGGAACAAGATAAATGCATCAGAAGATGTCGATTGGCATTATATTTGAATATCTGAAGATTATGTCTATCAGGGAAGCAAGTCGGAGGAAGGGAGTTCCACTGTCAGGAAGTGTGAGAGAAGAATCTGTTGGAGTAGAAGAGGCGGTTACATTTAACTGTCTCGACAATGAACGTGTGGGACCGAAATTCCAACATAGTAGCAGGCTTGAATTAATCCAGTTGGTGTACCAGTGAAAGTTGCTCGTCAGAGCAGCTGCATGAAAATATTTGTAGAAAAGACAGAGGGAAGCCACATCAGGTCTGTCAGAAAGTAACTGTAGACGAGATCCTAGAACAGGACATATCACATTGCAAATCTGGTGTATATTTAGAGATACTGCAAGCAGCTTTAGTGTCTTTTTCAAAGTAAACAAGCCTTTGCAAAAATAAAATACAGGTTTTCACGAATAAAATCGATGGAAAAAAATGCAAGCGTAGAGAAAACAAGAACAAAGTAGGGGAAGAAAAAATCAGGAACCTGAATGGATGTTTATGAAATTTAGCACAGAAAACCAGGGCAGAAAATGTCCAAAGAACTGGCAGAACGATATAAAAATTTAAAAAATTTACAACTGCTAAAAAAAAAAAAATAAATAAATAAAATAAAGTTACGATTGAAAAAGAGAAGACGCCGACAATCCTTTTAAAAACTGTACATAATAAATAAAGTGCAGTAAAAGACTAAATAATCGCTTTTCCTGAAGAAGTCGAACAAGGAAGTTTGAGTAAATATTTTTTTTTCCAATGTACGTTTTCTCCGCCGTATTCCAAACATTGAATATTTCGGTTTTGAAACTGTTCGATCCAGCCTAATTATTTTTTTGTACATTAAGCAAATTATTAAGAAACAAGACAACATTGTTAGAAACAAAGAAAAGAGTACGAAACTGTGATGTAATATCAGGACTGGCGGTGAATGCTGGACAATCTTCACATTAATGAAGATAAGGATGGTAGCAACAAAAATGTAGTCCTACAGAAGGATGCTGAGAATACCATAGACAGAAACTTTTTAAAATAGAAGCAAAGGGGTTACATATATTAGCATCAGGAAGAGACAGTTGAAATTTAAAAGGCACATAATGAGAAAAGACGGCTTGGGAAATTTAATATTCACAGGACATATTGAAGACAGGGGAGAACAAGATATAACCTACCCAGCGTGCTTGAGTAAGTGAATGGCGGGAAAAGGCTTAAGAGAGATAGAAAAAGAGACGAT